GCATCAATTAATGTAATCATAGGATTTTTCTTCTTTAACTTGTTAATATAGTGGATTACATTGATTACTTTTTGAATCTTGAACCAGTCTTGCATCTCTTTATAGATTTTATGTAAAATGATTTGTCTAGAACTTTAATCTTTGAATAAATTTAAAATTGAAAAGGTACAAAAATGTATCCCTGGGAGACCGTGAAAAAAAGTCTCCCACCCTGTCTCCCTGTCTCTTAGGTTTTCATTTCATTTCCCTACAGGAAACTAGTGCATCCTGGCAGTTTCTTATATACTCTGGAGGTTATTTGTGCATAATATGTGAGCAAATACATTTCTATTAACTTTTACTGTCTGCACTAGCAGAAGCTAGTATGGAAAGAAGCTAACTTTATTCGGGTGTACCCATGCTAGATGTTAAGCTAGTCACTTTGCTTAAATTATTTCATTGAGTTCTTAGGACAGTCCTTTTAAATAGATACTCTTATGAATTATCCAAGGCTCAGAGACATTCAGCAGATGTTGAACATCACTCAGCCACGAAGCAGAGGAGCTGATACTAAGTTTAAGGTCTGCTTGACACTGAAGTTTATGCTTCCTGACTGGGGCTTCAGTGGGCTCTCCACTCTGGGGTACAGGGACCCTTGTTTCTTCTGATGGCCCCTTCTGGATATGTACCTGCGGGCCATGGAATGTGACATCAGTGTTTAGAATGTGGTGGGCATTTGATTTATGTTTCTGAACCACAACCATTACTGACTTGCGAAATCAGAAAATCCAAATACAATTAAATAATTATCACTTTGTGAAAAATGTCTTGAGCTTGGATGAACAGCTGTGGGACTACAGTGGGATTTACTTAGTCGTGGGCTGAATCTTGCATATATAGCAGGGATAACAGAACCAGACATAATGCACCAGAGGAAAACAGAGCCTATTCATGAAACATTTGTCAGTTTGCAAATGGGAAAGAAGAAGGGATCAGAAATTGAGCAGAGTGCATGGCCTGCGAGGAGCCCAACCGGTCTTGGCTGTTCTGTCCTCCTTTTTTTAAAGGAACTTGATCTTCACTCCCTTTGGATCGGACAGATTTTGCCTTGACAGGATAATAAATTATAATACCATGGTTTTTCCTTGTTGGTTTGTCATCAGTTATAAAGACCATAGTCCACTTAGTGCCTGTGAAGGTCATACTGAAATTCAGAGAGCGGACATATAATGAAAACAGAAACTACCAACCTGCAGAGAATGTGCCCATTTTCCGCGTGGCTGATGACGCCATTGTCACCATTTTGGGCCTCAGTGTCCTCACCTGAACACTAAGAATGTTGGGCTTAGATGATTTCTGAGAATTTCTTTGAATTACAAAGTACAGTGATTCATTCCGTCATATAACCGGGTCAGGCCCATTAGTTTCCTAACCTGTCAGCATTTTGCTCATGAGCCACAGGGTTGGGGGCTTGCCCTTTGCTTGGAATGATTTCTAGAAATCATTGAACATTCCAGGTGAATTTTAGTCTGAATCTCAGAAATTGGTGTCAGTTTATTGTAGAAGGAGAAGGGATGGGGAGAGGCTTGCACGGATGGCTTTGGGATCCTCACAACCCTGGACACTTTGACGTGCTGTCAGTCAGCGAGTGAGCGCCCTGCGTTAAGCAAGGTCGCATTTAGGGTCCATGTCCAACAGTGCCTGTTGTTGACAAGTGGACATGTTCATTTATGGAGAGCTGATGGGAACGAAAGCACTAGAGGTGCTTTTCTGCCGGCCTCCCTCTGATGGGTCATGATTAGGGAAAGGGGGCAACTCCTGTGTCCCAAAAGGTGGGAAAGGAGCACATTTCAGAATTTGGAGGGTGGTTGAAACTCTCACCGGGGGACAGGATGAAGGAGTGTGACATGAGGCTGAACCGGGGCATTACAGCCTCAGTCTGTCCTGTTGCAGATGTGAATCTGGGAGAATCTGCTGACTTGGATAGGTCAGAGTCCAGCTCTGGTTGTAGGTAAGTGCAGCTGAGTTCCCAACCCTATAAAAGAGGGACAGGAGTCCTCCCTAGAGCAGTTCCGTTTGTCTTTGTACACCAGCATTTTCGGCTCCTGCCGTTGATGTCCGCCCGCTGGGCGGCTTGGATGCACAAGGATACCCCATAACCTCCCGCTTGGCCACATTGTCGTTCGGGAAGATAGGCCAGGATGGATGGGTCAGTAGGTCTGCAGGTCTTTCTGAGAATCCCGTTTGAAGGTACTCTGTGGAGGAAGTGAATTAAAACAGAATCCAAGAACGGAGAAATTGTCATAGTTTTAAAATTAAAACTAATGACAGACAAAAAGCACGAAGCAATAGTGGGGGGGAAGGGTTGATGTTAAGCAAGTTTTATGGTAACTATGGGATGAAAAAGAATGGAAAGGATAAAAACCAGGATTTTGGAAAATTTCTGTGCCTATCACTTATGATTCTGATAGAGGTTTGAGTGTGGAAACCTCTAAGTTTACCACTTACCAAATTAAAAACAGGACATGTATCTGACACAGTGTTGTATAAGACCAAGAAAATACAAAAGTCTGGGTACCACAAATCAACATTTAAAAAAAAATCTTGGAAGCATGAGCAGAAATCATTCTAGAAATCCACATTTCCAGAACAGTTGCGATACTTAATGCATGAAATACCCCGTGGAGGAGATAGCTTTTTAGAAGAAGGAAATTCCATTAAAAAAAAAAAAAATCCAAAGGTTTGCTATCTAAAAAGATAAACAGAAAGCATAATAGCTGGGGGGTAAGTACCAAAGCTTTGGCTCAGTATGTCAGTCAAATGTGAGCAAAAAGAAAGTCAGTTTGGCAGTATTGATGAACAATGCAGAATTTTTAGAAATATATTGTGGTATAAGAATCCTTGTTAATGGGTAATGGACAGAGATTAACTCTATCGGTGATCCTAACAAAGTGCATGAGGCAAAAATAGAAGTATAAGTAGAAATCTGCATGGTTTGGGGAAGATTTTATATCAGTCAGACTGTTAACAGGTCAAATAAAAACATAAACCATCTGAACAGTATAATTAAAGTCAGAATTTAAGTATCAGTGAAGGATACACAAAAATTGGTCTTATCTCAGGCAAAAAAAGGCAATTTCAAAAAAAAAAATTCGAAAATATTGGAAGTTTGATGTGCTGATCACTCGGTCATTACCTTCAGTTTTAGCCATGTAAGAATAGACCCAACTTAACCATATGTCACCCAAAGCGTCTGCTGTATTCATTGGGGCCCTCACAAGCATCCAGGTGAAGGTGAGGCCTCTCAGGTAAGGTTGGGTTGGAGAATGTGCCTGGGACCTCCGGCCACAGTGCTTGCCCTCTGTTGTCCCCCTCCCATAGGTCCTGGAATGGATCTGCAAGTCTGCGTGGAGGATGGCACCGTGCCTGGCAGAACCAGGGGGTTAGAAGTAGGAGCCGCAGGGAGATGCGGTCTGCTGATTCGCATCTGGAAGGGAGCCTCTGTGCCTTGCTCTGGGCGTGCTTCACTGCAAGAAGCCCAGGAGGACGCCCGGCTCTTTACTGGTTCCTGGAGCACGCAGCAAGGGTCTATTTCTTCCTTGAGGCATGGGCACTGTGCGCAACTGGCCACTGAGCTCACTTGTGGAGTAGCCACTGGAGCGGGAGGGAGACCGGTCATGCTCCTGTCAGCCCTCCAAGGCAGAAGCTGTCGGTCTGTGGACTGAGCTGAGAATTTGTGCAGAGAAGGGATCGCTCCTTCAAAAATGTGGCAGTTATAAGTTAATCATAGTGTAATGTATGTAGAAAGCATATATAATTTATATGTATAATAAACATAAAATTGTAATAGAAACTAAAATTTTGGAAAATTAAAAAAAACAAACCCACCTGAGCAAATCATTGTGGGATCAAACGGGAAATGCAGCTGATAACAGCGAGTCACTCTGAGGTCCTGGCCTCTCGAGGCCGGCCCCGGGATGCCGGTAGCCTGTAACTGCAGAATTGGGACTTTGATTCCTGGTTGGGTGTTTCCTCTCCCTTCGTCCTCAGTGAGAGGGGACGCTGGGACCTCCGGCACCTTCCGTGGGGCCTGCTTTGGTGCTGAGCTGCAGCCTGCTGTTCACGTCTCTGCTTCCGACCACAGCGATGAACTTGCAGGGCTCTGGCAGCTTCCTCTTGCTCCCACCAGGCTTTGTAGCCGTGAGAATACCAGCTCATCGGACGGGGTCGTAGTTAGCCCTGGATTCGGGCCATACCACCCTTGCCGACTGAGAGCTAAGAACTTGTCCGGAGTACGTTACCTTTGGCGTCTATGCAGCGGACAAGAGAGCAGGCATCTTCCCAGACGCTGGTGCTTTGAGAGGTGGACTCACACCTTACGTGAAACGTGCTCATCCCTGCAAAGGGAGGTTTTTCCTGGGTCCTCGGTCCTGACGGCACAGATGCTACCTGCCGCACGCCGATGTGCCAGGTGACCGTTGTCCCGTGCCTGGGGCTTGCGGTACAGCGGACTGGCGCTAGCCGGGTTCTCTCCAGGTGTGCGGACGTTTCCTGTGGAATCCAGGAGGCCAAGAAGCCTTTTTCTGGCAGGCCTCGGCTCTGGCATTTTTTCCTGTGTGAGCACCAGGTCCCTACAGCAGTGACAGGCTGAAACGAAGTTTCTTGCTGGCGAGTTGTGTAGGGCAGTTGGAACCTGCATCTCCTTGGCCCTTGTTCCCCTTGCCTCGTTGTGCACATGCAGAGTCAAGGAAGGGAGCGATGGCATGGATTCTAATCCGTAGGAACGTAGAGCCGTCGGGCAAGAGCATGCATGGGCTCCGGAGCCGGACTGCCTGGGTTTGGTCCCAGCCTCTCGTGTTACCTACGTAATATCTCGGTGTGTGCAGCTTTTTCTGGATCCTGGGGAGGTAATGAGTGCCAGCCCTTCGGATGGTTGAAACGATGGCGTCTAGTAGTGCGTTCAGAGCACTCTGAACGGTACCCGGCACGGAAACACTCTTACTTACTGTTGTTACTCGTAACACCAACACTTGCTTTTCTTGCAGAGTTGAGCACTTTGCCAAAATCTACAGTCAAAAAATCGGCATCAAAAAGGAAGTTCTTTTGAAAACCTTGTGGGGAGATTATTATATCAATATGAAGGCCAAGAAGATTATGAAGGTGGATCAGGTGATGTGGCAATATGTCCCTTTTGTGTGTCACTCACATTCCCGCCCCATTCAGACTTGTAGCACCTTTCATAGATGTAATTTGGCTCTGGCTAAAGTGGGTCAGTTTGTGAGGGGTTCACGGTCGTGTGTTTTACTTCCAAGTATTGCTTAAATGGAGTTCTTTAAATAAGAGAGCAAGGAACTGCTTTTTGTTTGTTTCTTCTTTCTTTTTTTGAGAGGAGCAAAAATCTCAGACCCTGTGCACTTGAAGACATGTGTTTTGCATCCTGCTTTTGTGTCCCTTTCACCATAAAGAGACGGCTCTTTCCGAGCACACTGTGTTCCTAGGCTCAGCTCAGGCTTCTCTCACTGAATGCTGGTCACCAGCCTGCTGTTGATGGTTTTTTTTAATGTAAAATTCAGGATTTTATAAACTTACTCTCATGGAGGAGCATATAGATTCCTTTTAGAAAATATTTGTAAATACAAAGCCATAAGAGAAAAAAAGAACAGAAGCCAACACTGCTGATGCTGTGGTTTTAATTTTTTTCACTTTTAGGATTGAGACGTCCATCCCTTAGTTGAGCTTATACTGTCTATATACTAACGTAACTCTTTTTTTGCTTGACATCATGTCGTGAGCATCTTCCCTTGCCATTAAAAGCCTTTCAAAAAGCTCCTTAAGAAGGAGCTGGTGTAGCGAGATGGCAAAGAGCCGGGCTGAGAGTCCGAGTGTGTGTGTGCATCGTGGCTCCACCACTTCCCGCTCCGTGGCCTTTGTCCCCTTCTTCCACCCGTAACCGGGCGATAGTTGGAAAGGGGGCGCCCATGTATATTCCGTCTCACGTGCGTGTGACGGTTTCCTTCTCAAGGTGCTGTTACTTTGCATATGGTTTGGTCAGAGAAATGGTAGGGTTTCTTTGTTTTTTTACTATCCTCTTCCTTGAAGTTGAACGGTTTTCACGTTTAAGAACATTGTTTAGAAGAAGTCTGCGGAAGGGACCTGCACACGCAGCGTGACTTCTAGCGCTCAGCCTGGGTGTCGTGTACGCCTTTGATGGCAGAGGTGGGGCAGTTGCAGCGACACGCCCCGCAGCTGGTCTCGTTTGTCACAACCCTGGCTCTCGGAGGAAGGCAGCAGTGGTTTGTTACCAGCTGCACCTTATTGGCTGTTGAGCGAATTCTTTCCAACCATTTCCCACGACTTTACTGTTCAGTAAACATTTTCTGGTAGAAATGAGACATACTGTTCACAGAACACGTCAAGGGTGAATATGTAAGGTACCTGTTAAATATTCAGAAAGTTAAGTGCACGTGTTCTGTTTTACAGGCAAAAGGAAAGAAACCTTTATTTGTGCAGCTGATCCTGGAGAATATATGGAGTTTGTATGATGCCGTCTTGAAAAAGTAAGACTGCCATAAAATTGTTTGTCTTTGGGCTGTATAATGCCTCACCTTCCCGTGTGATGAGCCATGCTTCAGAAAGCGGAGACAGACCCAGGAAGTGAACAGAGCTTTGCAGACCTGGAAACAGTGGAAAGGAGTTTGTGTAACCTTGGTCAAGGGTAGCAGGAGGGACAGCACTGAGGGTTTTAGAGTGCCCAGAGGAGGGGACAGACGGATGGACAGAAGCACCGGATCTTTATTTTTACAGACCCAGCTTAAATAAAACAGTTAATGCAGTAGAAAGGGTGTTGGATATCCAGTATCATTAATGGGGAACTTGGGAACACCCTTGCCTGATACAAGTGGAAAAGAAAGTTTGCTTCAGTAAATTTACTTTCAAAGTTATTCCAGAGTTGGAGCCATGACTGTGAGCACTCATAGGTCAGGCTGCTTCACCCGTCACCGCAACTCACCTCAGGGGCCTGGGATGGTGCCCCCTCGGAGCCCGGCAGGAGGGGGCCCCGGAAAGGGAGGGAGTGGAGACCCTGGCGGGAGCCCCCCCAGACGTGTTCAGTTTCTCGTAGAGGAGGTACATTGGGAGTAAGTGTGTCGAAAAATGTGGAGCTCCTTCTCCCGTCTGCCCCTTCCTGTCTGTGTGTGACCTCCCCGCTTTGTATGCTTACTACAGGGACAGAGAAAAAATTGATAAAATAGTGACTTCCTTAGGATTGAAAATTGGAGCCCGGGAGGCACGACATTCAGACCCTAAAGTTCAGATCAATGCCATCTGCAGCCAGTGGCTCCCCATCTCCCATGCTGTGCTGGGTATCCTTTGTCTTGATGGTTTGTAATGAAATAACAGTTCAGACAAAGCAGGAGGAAACAGCATGTTACTGGCAATCAGGAAATCCTCTGGAGAGAACGTATTTCCACCCAAAGTAAGTCTTCTGTGGTTAATTAGTATTCTACCCTGAAACTGTATTCACTGCTTTTACAAATGAACATTCTGATACTCATTCGTGGTCTTACTGATACCAATTCAGATGCATGTTCTTTCAAGAAAGAAGATGCATCTTTTTATTTTTGTTCAGTAGTCTGTAAAAACAAAAGATTTTATTTTACTAAGATTTATGTGTAAGTCGATAATTTAGATGGTTATGTTGGATCAGGGTTTCATTTCAGTGCCACATTTTCTTAGCTGGTTGATATTTCCTATCATCTTAGTGATTCCCAGAGAACTTGATCGGAGATGGTTCACATTTAGATAATTTTATAGGCGACTTTAAACTGTCTTCTTTTCATTGACGTGTGTGTCCCACGCAGTCCCCGCGTGGCGGGCTGTGGGCGCAGTGTCCTGGGTGTGGGCCTGCAGTGGCATCTCAGCCCTACAGTGACGGGCTCTGGTAGGGGACGTCCTGGTATCCTTGCTAGTGGCTCATGGTCGTTTTATAGGAGTTGAGATAGACCAGAACTGTGGGAAAAAGTGGTAGCACTGAGGGTCTCAGGAGGCCAAGCTACTAAGCAGTGCCGTGCTCTCTTGTACCCTGGGCCATCAATGTCCCGGAATATCTGTGGTAGGGGTCCTTCCTGGGCTCCAGCGAGTCCCTGAACTCCCTGAAAGCATGTCTGTATTGTGAGATGTGGTGCACAGTGTTTCCCGGCCCGGGTGTTTTCTGTAGAGACCGACACTGTCACCTCGGTATTTAGTGTGCCCTGGGAATCTCTTGCCTTGCTGGAGGGCACGTGTTTGAGGTTGTGAGTCCTTAACAGCAGACGTCAGCAATGGTGTGTCAGAAGCTTCCCAGCCCCCTGGATATGACAGCTGAGAGGGTGGAGAGACTGATGTGCACAGGATCACAGACGTTCGACTCTCTTCTGCCCGAAACCCAGGCCCTGAAAGCAGGTGAAGTGAAGGGGACCTCGGCAGGGGCCGTAGTTTGGACCGTCCTAAGTCAAGGCTGCTCTAGACCAGTTTGCCAAATGCCAGTTTACAAAAGGCCATTTGGCCAGAGTTTTAGTGTTGCTAGAGCTGTTTTGTTCGCCACTGGGGTGGGAGACCAGAGGCTCTGAGCCCCCTCCCTTCTGCTCTGATCTCGTCTCAGAAGCTCCCAGTGACCTTGTGTCCCAGCCCCTGCACGGCCAAGAATGTGTCCCTGAGCTGCTGTGTCAGCACCGTGGCCGGGTCCCTGGGGACCGTGGAAAGGGGTTCTGGGGCTGGGCTGCCCACTGCTCCCCACAAGAGGGGAACCGTCCACTCCAGGCTCTGCAAGCCTCCATGAACTTCATCTGCGTGTACTCACCATCTCTGCTTTTCCTCCCGTTCTGTTGAATTTGCAACCTCCATCCCCAAAACCACTTGGCTGCGGTTCCCAGGGCCCCTGTTGACTGTCCTTTGTTAAATCATCCGACTAGATCTGTCACTAGCATTGGCCACAGCGTTCCTCCCTGGCTCCTCTCCTGGCTGCGCATTCCTCGTGTCTGTTCCTCATCCCTCTCTCTCCCTTTCGTCTCTCTGTCACTGTGGGCAGACCCGAGCAGGGCCTGCATTCCCTCTCCTGGCCATGTCACCCCTCTCAAGGCTTGCCATGGCAGCAGTCTGCTCATGACTCCCACACCCGTGTCTCTGAGCCTGTCTGCCCCCTCAGCTCCAGCCTCGGGTCCGCCGCACCTCCCTCTGCTCGGCTTTCTAAGAAGCACCTGAACCCTAACATACCCCCCCGCCAGGCTTCTTCCCTTCTCCCTCAACCTGCTTCTCCTGGTTCTCCTCAGTCAGAGGAGACTCTGTCCCTTCATTTGCTCACTCCAAAAAGCTCGGAGTCGTCCGTGGCGCTCCTGTTCACTCACACCCCTGCATCCAATCCGTTTGCACATCCTGCGTGTTCTTGCCTCGAAATCTACGCAGAATTCGGCTTTTCCTAGCTTTTCTGCTTCTGCGTCCTGGGGCCAAGCCACCATGGTCTCTCACCTGAGTGTCAGTACAGCCTTTCACCAAGTGCCCACCTCTGCTCTCCGTTTCCCTTGGTACAGCCAGAGTGGTCCCAGGACAGTGGGAGTCTGGGCAGGCCACACTGCTCCTCACCCCTTGTACCCACGTCCCTGGCAAGATGTCTGCTGTGCCCTTGCTTCTGACTTCCTGTTGTGTTGCTCTTGTTTCAATATTACTGTTGAATTCTTTCATTTATGTGCACATTATTTTGGGGGGGGGTGATTTTTTAAGGAAAAAACAAAACAAAAAACCAGAAACACTCATGACTGGTGTATATACCTCCAGGAAGGTGAAGAAAAATGTCAACGTGTTGATGTGAAATTGTGTTAGTATATATAGATTTAGGCAAAATTGACATCTTTATAATATTGAGTCTTATTTCTAAGTATTTTGTTACTGGCATGATAAGGTATTCTTGTCCATTTTTTAACTTGTGTCACTTGTATGTATTTGATTAATAAGCTGCCTTGCTGACTGTTGAACTTAGCATGTGTCAGTTTTACCCCTTCTGCTCTGGATATCGGGCAGGATCTCTGAGGGCTTATGGGGGGGGTAGCCCCGTTTGCGGCTTCAGCACCCAGCCCTCCTCCTGCCCTGCTCATTTTGCCTTTCTTTCCCCATTTGGGCCAGTTCCGCTTGTTCTTGCTCTGCAATGTTCCAGCGATTTTATACTTTTCTAAAGAGAACTTTATCGTGGTTGTAAAAGATTACAGGCTGCTTATGTGTTGAGGTGACACCGTGTTCTAAACATCTTGTGTTTTAGAAGTCTGCCTTTCTGGTCATGGGAAAAGCGAGTGACCTTTTTCCTTCCTATTTGTGTAGCTTTCATGAAATGTGGAAGCGAGGACACTGCTCCAGTTATTATCTTTGTTTCCAAAATGTTCGCCGTCGATGCCAAGGCCCTGCCCCAGAATAAGCCCAGGTAAGGATAGGGGGAGGTTGGGCCGGGCCAGGGAAATGGTGTGTGTTTGGTGGGGGTGCAGAAGCGGTGTGGGTGGGAGTGTGCAGACAACGCTTTTCTCCTCACACCGGGATGGGTGCGGGGCACCCCGTGGTGGTGGATGCTGTGCACAGCGCAGTCTTTCTGTGACCCCTCTGGGGGAGAGAGTTGTTGAAATCAGCTCCAGGACGATTGATTTGAGTTGATGTAAATTCAAGGAGAAGAGTAATAGGAGTAGCCACAGTTCATTTGTATTGAGCATCCGGCACGTTCTTCTGCAAGCCTGCCTTGCCGACCTCAGTGGAGACTTAGGACCGTGTGAGCATGTCTGCTGATGGGTGTGGGTTGGGGTGGGGCCGGGTGCCTCTGGGAGATGGGTTATTTCTCATGTTTCCCGTGTCTCGGAGAATCTCTTCTCCATCATCTGGGTTTTCCATGTGTGTTCCCCTCCTCGGCTCCACTGCCTCCCCCTTCAGATCCCGATCGGTTCCTGCAGGAATTACGGCTGCAGCCTCCTGGCTGGTCCCTCTGCCCGGGCTCTGGCTTTGCCAATCCGTGTGCCGTCCATCCTACGCTGGGATCTGGAATGAAAACTTGATGTGGGTGCCTCGAAGCTCCTCTTCTGTAGGACCCACATCTACTCTGGATGTTCTTCGTAAGGATTTTTTGAGTAACCCGAGAGAAATAATGTAAATAATACTTAAGAATGTCCGGTACCTCGGGGGCATCTTAAGTCTTATTCTTCTGTCTTATGAAGAATAACGGCGGTGACTCCACTGGCTGCCATCCGCGGAGCTCAGACAGTATTCGTTTCTCCGCGTCCGTGGGCCGTTGAGATCTGACAGCACTTCCTGAGTGGGAAGTAGTCAGGGTTTCAGTTTTGCCTGTGACGGAAAAAGTAAGTTAGGGGCTCCAGGTCACGGAGCTGGAAGGAGGCCACCAGTGTTCGAACCCAGGTCTTGTCCATTCACAGCGTGGAACCTGGCCTTGTTCGTCCAGTGTGGCTTGTCTTTCTTTTTCTCTTTTCATTTTTCCAGCTTTTACATTTGAGTTTATTCTTCATTTAACTTTGAAAACAGCACTATCATTGAATATTGAAACAAAAGCAGTAGGGAGGGGCGCCTGGGTGGCTCAGTCGGTTAAGCGTCTGCTGTCGGTTCAGGTCGTGATCTCCGGGTCCTGGGATTGAGCCCCGCGTCGGGCTCCCTGCTTGGCGGGGATTCTGCTTCTCCCTCTGCTGCTCCCCCTGCTTGCGCTCTCTCTCTCTCTCTCTGTCAGATAATAGCAGTAGTGAGTCAGGAGCTCTGATTATAGCCCTTCATGCAGCCACTGCATATAAAGGGCCAGCAGTGAGGGTCATTCCGCGGTCCCAGTGAGAGTTCTGATGCTGAGCACTGTCCCAGGATGACGCGCGTCAGCCTCACGTGTGTGTCTGTTGTAACGGTGGCAACAAGGCCACCGAGTCTGGCTGCCCCATTTCTTTAGTCTCGTCTACTTCCTTCCTCTCAGGTAGGAGTTTTTTCAGCAAAGAGTATTTATTAGGAGAAAGAAAGCCATTCTCAGGAAAGTTTACCTTAAATCCAGTGACTAGGCAACCCTTTCCACGTGGTCTACGATGAAAGGGCATGACTTCATTTAGCACACACGGGACATGTCCGTGCTTGACAGTCTGGCCTGGGTGAGGGGTGATGTCTGTGGTTCGGTCGTCAGGAGCAGGGACTGGCCTTGAAAGCGCACAGTGCGTCAGCCAGCTGTGTGTCCACCCACACGGCAAGGCCTCCTCGCCGAGTAAAATCAGCACGGTCCTTCTGATAGTATCAGAAACAGCGGTAGTATCTCCTGGCTGCAGTCCTGGTTCTTGGTCTCCTTCACCTGGAATGTTATCTTCTGACCACCTTTCATAACTTGGTCAATGTGAACTTCTAGAATCTTCCAGTGCAGCTTTTCCATCTGTCTTTAGCACTGACCCGTCCCCGTGGCCCTGGCACTCTACACACAGACCGAATTTGCTGAGCCGCTCCAGCTTCCACCTTAGGAATTCTTCCTTGCAGTTCCATGCCTCTGCCCTCGGGACAGCACGCCGCCGCTCTGCCTTACCTCCCCGGCCCTCGTGTTTGCTCTTGGGCAGAGCTTGTTTTCCTGTTGCACCATTGTGTCAGCCCCCTAAGGTTACTGAGAGCTGATGCACAACATTTTCACCGCTCCTTTCTCTCTGCTCCTTCCTCGTCCTCCAAAAGGCATTGCAGAGATGTCCCTGGGGGAACACCCTGCCACCAGCTCCGCCTTCTTTACTTGCCTCTCCTCCTTTGTCATATTCTCCCCCTCTGTCCCTTTTCTTTGCATCACAGAGCACTTTGTGAGCTTGAGAAATCTGTTTAAACTTCTTCATTTGGATTCATACCAGGGTATCAGGGTGGTGCTCCAGGGCCAGTTCTTCCTGGTGGAGTTGGGTTTGTCCCCCAAACACAGTCAGTGGTTTCTTTCACCATTTTGTACAGCCGGTGAGCGGGCACGGGCCAGTGTGGAACAGCTGCCGCTCCTCGGCTTCTCACTGAGTGTTCTGGGAAGTTCCACCCGGTGTGGCTTTCCAGCGCCTACCCCTAAATCTAGGCCAGCAGCCATCCCACCTTTTAGATTCAGGGCCTTTGTTTTTGCTGTTCTCAACTATAGTTTATTACAAATCCTTAGGAGTATGTATTTGGTCTAACTGCCTGTTAGGGAACATTTTATTGAGAGTTTTCAGGCAGCTCTCTTCCCCCTGCGTCTCCGGGTCTGTGCGTTGCTTTTGCTTCCTTCTTGAGAACCAGCTCCTTCTAGTAACAAGATGCTGTCTTCCCACAGAAGGCACTTTTCTGGGTCTGTCGCTTTGCACCATCCCCGCTGTGTCTGGTGACAGGCTGTGCCAGCCTTCCACCTGTTCCGTACCGAGCAGAGCGTAGGCATTCTGCCTGGAATCCGGAGGCTGGATGGATGTGCGTCCTCGCCTCTTCTCCTTCCCCTCCTCATTCACCTCCCCAGCCTTCCAGTCAACATACTCACCTCTGGTGCAGGAAGTGTTAGTTCAACTACAGCCTGAAGAACTCATCACCCACAGCTGTGCCTTGGCTGGTAGAGCTCTGTTTTCTTGTAGATCAGTCCTCTTCATTCTCCACAAACGCGGGGTTCGCAGTGGGTACCTCGTATAAATCCTTGTGATTTCTGTCTGTCTGGCTGCTCCGTTTCCCTGTGCCACCACCCCCAGCCCACAGCAGTGCCGGGCACGGGGGGGGGTTCCCTGGGTGGGTGGATGAGTGCTAGACGGGCAGCAAGGCTCGTTACAGCTGATGCTAACTTGATGAATAGAAATGCTAACTTATTCCAGACCATGTCATGAATTTACGCCGAATGAGGATGTAATTTATGTTAATAAATACCTATCTTTCTTAACCAAAGTTAAAATGATTTACTTAATGTGATGATGATTTTATCATCTTTAATTCCTTCTCAGTGGGGGACGTCCTGGGGATAATGAACAAAGGTTTGGAGTCAGATCTGGATTTGAGTTTTGGCTCCTCCATTTATTTTCCAGTGACTTTGGGTCAGGTTAAATTTCCTAAGCCTCTGCTTTGTCATCGTAAAATAGGGATGATAGTATCTGTTTCATTTAACTGTTGTAGTAAGTATATACTATAATTACGTGAAGTGATTAAGATTAAGACGATGTCGAGATCCTAGTGATAAGCCCATTGAAAGAGACTTTCTCTTCATATGCAAACAAGTCTCATTTTTTTTTTCCTCCCTGTTCTAACGATAATATTACATCCTGCATTTATAGTTTAACTTGCACTTTTTAGATATTCTTGAAGCAGTTTTAGCAAAAGTCTAGATACACGGGGTTGATTGAAGGGGGAGGTGGAGTGTTGGGCCTGGAGCAGAGCAGGGTGAGGGGAAGGGCCCGAGCGCAGGCCATTGCAAGGAGAGGGAGAAGTGGATTTGTTCGCTGTTGATCCAGAGCACAGACCTGCAGCCATGGTGAGAAATTTCAAGGAAGCAGATTTCATCCCATACTTGAAAGGGCTTCTAATGCTTGGAGATTCCAGGAGAGGGGAGCTGGTCTCTTGCAGGGGAAGTAGACGCCTCCAGCACCAGCAGTGTTGGTTGCCTCACGGCACCTGGCCAAGCTGTTCTCAAAGATCAGTCTCTCAGGTTCCTGTGTCCTGGGACACAGCCCCGCGGTGACCTGGGTCTGACTAGAGGGGACAGCTCCGAGAAACGAGCTCATCCGTTTGGGGGGGCAGGTGCCAAGGGAGGTAGAATTGGTGTCCGGTCCTGGTGGGAGGCCTTGTCTAGCAGGTGGGAGTGTGAAGAGGACAGCAGCGGACAGTCAGTGGTGGGAGTGGTCACCTTCCAGGCTCGCCCACATGAAGCAAGAAGGAAGAAGGGTTTTAGGGCCCTTGGCATCGGAGCTCCAAGAGTACGTGGCCATTTCGAATGCTTGACAACGGTGTACATGCAGGAGGGATATCTGAATGGGTTCCAGTGCTTAGGGGAGGGGGAGTAAAGCAGCATGGCAGGGTGGGGATGAGGTTTCCTATCAGGTGTCAAGTCAGAGATCAGGAAGAGAAGCAGAAATCATAGTGCCAAAGGTGAGGGACAGCAGGAGGGAGGCACAGGGTGACAGGACCAGGCCGAGGAGCTCAGCTTCCAGAGCTGGAGCATAGAATTAGGACCAGAGAATTAGCCTGAGTATCCTGGTCCTCGGTCCCAGAGTTGCCGGGTTGAGATGCCCCAGTGCTGCTGACTTTTGGGCAGCTGTTGGTCTTGCTTGGTGTTGGGGTTGTGGATGCACGTGGGTTTAGGAAGGCCCACACGTGGGAAGGGAGCCAGATCCTGGGAATTAATATACCTGCCTGGTTTCTGCCTTCCAAACTTAAACTCCCAAACAGAATGCCCATTTATATTCAACTTAGCGCTCCCCTTTTGTAAAGACTTCTGTTATTAAAGCTGTGCCTTTTTTGTGGCCTGTTAGACTTGAGGATAACCCTTTTTTTTTTATTGTTATGTTAATCCCCATACATTACATGATTAGTTTTAGATGTAGTGTTCCATGATTCATTGTGCATAACACCCAGTGCTCCATGCAGAACGTGCCCTCCTCAAT